CCACCCGCTCCATTTGACTCGGCTAACGAAGACTGGGACTCGTATTTAGACAGGTTCCAGATGTTCCTGGAGACCAACAATCTGAAAGACGCTGCGCCTGGCAAGAAACGAGCGATCTTCCTGACCCATTGCGGGCCTGCCGTTTTTAAAATGGCTAAGGCACTTGCTAAACCAGTGGAAGTTAAGACGATGGATTGGGATACCCTCACACCGATACTCCGAGCCCATTATGCACCCGCTTTACCAACGCTTATCCGAAGGCACGGATTTTACCAGAGGGACCAACGGAAAAACGAGAGCGTTGGGGACTTCATCGCGGACCTCTGGAACCTGGGAGGCCTCTGTGGTTTCGCAAACCTCGAGGAAGCCATGAGAGACCGCATAGTTCTGGGATTAGATGACCACACTGTGCAGAGCAAGATCATGGCTAAAGGGGACATCGACCTCGCAGATGTCATCGCCGACGCTACTGCAGCAGAAGCAACCAGGAAGTTGGCCGCTCGAATGCGCCGCACCAACGCACCGCTCCGCCAACTCACCAGTGATACTACGCCTTTTTCCGAGAGGCACTCAACAACGGCTCACCATGAAGACCTCGAATCCTCGTCTGATAGTGAGGAAGAAGAGGTCAACCGACTCAGGTCAGAGCGCGACCAGCGAGACCAGAAGAGCCAGAAACCTGCACGTCAATGCGCCGGTTGCGGGGCCAATCACCCGCGATCGGACTGCAAATTCCTCGACACACTCTCCCGGTCCTGTGGGAAGAGGGGCCACATCGCAAAGGTTTGCAGAAGCAAGCGAGCATCAAGCCCAATCCGAAGAACAACGGGCAGCCCACCTGTAAATCGGGACCGTCTGAATCACCAATGGAACCACTATCACTACAGAAATCGAGCGCCTGCTGCATCAGCTAGGCGAGAAGAGGCGCATCAAACCATTACCATTGGTCACGCATCATCCTTGGATGCAAGAAAGATCCGAGTGAAAGTCGCCATTGAGAATCGTCCATGCGTAATGGAAGTAGACTCGGGATCGTCCCTATCAATGGTCTCGTGGAAAACCTTCAAACAGCTGATCCCTGACATCCATCGCCAGGATCTCAGCACCCAAAAAATCATACTAAGGGACTACCAGGGAAACAGGATTCCCGTTGCCGGTTCCCGCCACGTCCAGGTGTCCTTCAAGGACCACACCGCAACTCTGCCTATTACCATCGTCGATCGAGACTGACCCAGCTTGTTGGGGTTACAGTGGTTCGCTCCACTGGGAATTGAACTAGCTGGCATTCACCAGACCGGGTACAGCGACTGGGAAGCGGCCCTCGTCCAGGAGTTCCAGGACGTGTTCACCGAGAAGCTAGGCAAGTACAAGGGATTCCCCATATCATTTAGCCTCAACCCCGATGTTGCACCCATCCGCCTTAAGCCTCGTCGAGTGCCCTTCGCACTCAAGCCAAAGATTGATGAACAATTGGACAAATTAATAGCTCAGGGGGTGTTAGAACCGATCGATCACGCCCGTTGGGAAACCCCGATTGTAACTCCCATAAAGCCTGATGGATCGATAAGAATTTGTGGGGATTACCGGGCCACCCTAAATCACGCGCTTCAGCAGAGCGCTTACCCGGTACCTGTGGTCCAACATCTTCTTCACTCCCTGGGTGGCGGAAAAATATTTGCAAAATTGGACCTCGCCCAGGCATACCAGCAACTACCCGTAGATGCAGAAACTGCTGAGGCCCAGACTATAGTCACGCACAAAGGTGCGTTTAAATGTAATAGACTCCAGTTCGGAGTGAGTGTAGCACCAGGCATTTTCCAAAGCCTGATGGAGAGACTGCTACAAGGCATAAAAGGAGTCGTGCCTTATTTCGATGACGTATTGATAGCTGCCCCCACTAAAGACGTATTAGAGAAACGACTCAGAATGGTTCTTCAGAAATTCAAAAATGCCGGGTTGAAAGTAAAAAAAGACAAGTGTCAACTTTGTACTGAGAGGGTTGAATTCCTAGGGTACCTTCTTGACAAAAAGGGAATGCATCCCACTGAAAAAAAAGTAACGGCAATAAAAAACGCCCCAAGACCCAGGAATAAAACAGATCTCCAAGCCTTCCTAGGACTCATTAACTTTTATAACATCTTCTTGCCCCAAAAGGCGACTGTAGCTGAGCCCCTACATAGACTACTCGACAAGAAGGCTTCCTGGGTCTGGGGACATTGGGAAGAACGAGCATTCCAGCAAGTAAAAGATCTCTTAACCTCAGATGCTGTATTAATGCAGTATAACGAGACTTTGCCTTTAACGGTCACCTGCGACGCTTCACCATTTGGGGTAGGAGCCATCTTAAGTCATGTCCTACCAAACGGAAATGAAGCACCTATTGCTTTCTTTTCACGAACTTTATCAAAGACTGAAAGAAACTACAGCCAACTCGATAAAGAGGCTCTTGCTATTGTATCCGCTATTAAACGTTTCCATGAATATGTATATGGCAGACCGTTTACCATAATAACTGATCACAAGCCATTGCTGGGCATTTTAGCGGGAGACAAACCAACTCCCCACATATTATCACCCAGAATGACCCGTTGGTCAGAGTTTCTAGCCGCATACGATTATCAACTGCAACACCGCCCGGGGAAAGCCATTCCCCACGCTGACGCCTTGAGTCGTTCTCCGCTACCGGAAGCCATAGACGATCCGGCCCCAACTTTAACTGCACTCCAAATCGAAACTCTCCCTGCACCACCCCTGACTGCACGAGACATCGCCGCGGAAACAAAAAAGGATCCTGTATTCGCTCGAGTCCTCAGCTGGGTGGAACGAGGTTGGCCTGACAACGAACCCAACGACACCTTCGTGCCGTTCAAGCACCGACAGACAGAACTGTTTTCCCAGAAGGGCTGCATCTTGTGGGGAGACAGAGTCGTCATTCCAGAAAATTACAACATACAGTTCTAAAACTGTTGCACGATGGTCATCCAGGCATCGTGCGAATGAAGGCATTGGCAAGAAGTTACGCGTGGTGGCCAGGTATCGATAAACAGATAGAAGCCTGGGTGGCCACATGCAACAAGTGCCAGGAAATCCGCGCTGCCCCACCGAAGGCACCTCCAACTGAATGGGACGCATCTCGTGGTCCCTGGTCCCGCATCCACATTGACTTTGCGGGACCCACCAAGGGACACACCTTTCTCATAACTGTGGATGCCTATTCCAACTGGCTCGAAGTCCACAAAATGAAGAGCACCACCACAGAAGCCGTCGTTAAAAAATTAAATAGACTATTCGCTACGCACGGATTGCCTGACGTTTTAGTCTCGGATAACAGTCCCCAATTCACTGCCCTAGCATTTGAACAGTACCTAGCCGACCGGGGCATCTGCCATGCCTTAACTTCGCCGGCTCACCCTGTGGCCAATGGCAGGGCTGAGCGCATGGTCCAATTCATAAAAAAGACCTTGCACAAGATGGAGACATTGATGACAAAGTAACCAGAATGCTTCTCCTCCAACACATCACCCCGCACAGCATCACAAACAGAACCCCGGCCGAACTTCTAATGGGCTGGAAACTTCGCTCACACCTCGATCGCCTGCACCCAACCTACACGCCAGAAAAACCTTGCGGTTCCAGCAGCAAGTGTCGTGCGTTCAAGGTAGGCGACTTAGTCTTTGCAAAAAACTTCTTGGGTGATCCATTGTGGGTCCCCGCTACTATAACTCAAATTACGGGCCCCAGATCTTACCGTCTACAGACTAGCGATGGGAAATTATGGAAGCGCCATATAGACCAACTTCGTTCCCGATTGGCTCCTAGCCCTATCTCAACCCCTGAACCTCAAACTGGGGGGGAGAGGGAAATCGAGGAGGCCGAAATAGAATTAGCAGACGACCCACTAACTGACGCCCAGCAGTCTGCACAACCAACTATGGGATACTCACCTTCCGGAGGAGAACCGAGCCGGGTGATTGTTTCGCCACAAAGCAGCCCGGCCATAGAAGCAAGTCCGGGGAACCCGGATGACAACAGAGAGGACAGCCCTGAGTCCCCGAGCGGAATAGTGGAACCGTTTTCGCCACCCGGTTCTACAAACAGCCCACCGGAGCCAGCGCCAGAGCAGAGACCGGTGGAACAGCGAAAATCGAATAGACAGGTGAAACGGCCTGCCTACTTACGAGAATACGTCACCCCACCCCTCAGACGGAACCTAGGGGGGAGGGATGTTACAAACTAAACAAACTCATTTGTCAATAACTATACTAGCTTACTTCAGCAGCAGGCTTGTAATCCTGCACTTCTGATTGGCCCGCGGATAAGCGAATCGTGATTGGCTGATTCTGGCTAATCTGATTGGCTGACAACGGGCCGTCTCTGATTGGACGCTTTTAGAGCGGTTAGTTCAATTTCATTGGTTGTTGTGACAGCAGCCAGCTCTATAAAAGAGCTGCTGCTGCCCTAGTTGTTGCTCTGTTCCGAAGTCACTATTAAAGAGTTGAATTGAGTCGCTATCGATGCCTCGTCTCCGTTATTGCGCCCACTCCTCCAAATCTAACACTTTGAGTATCAGAGAGGATACAAAAAGTCTGAACCATAAGGCACAAGGATTGAAGGAGTGTTTAGTAAAATCAAATGTATTTTGAAGCAGGGAAGTTGCAAATATATTAATTAATTGCTGTGAAAATCTACTTGTGTGTGCATGCATGCATAGCAGAGATCACAATCTCTTAGGCTGGGGCAGCATTTCATGCATGACTTCCAGTAAAAGGCTGGACGAGTCGATGAAGACTCATGGTAAAAAGAAGACAGGCTGGAAAAGCACCTTTCTCAGCTTGCAATATATATCAATGCTCTCCAGAAATATGCACTGCAATTTTTTCCCCCACTAGCCTTTTATTTTTGTGTACATTCACCCTCAGAACAATTGTCTCTCTCCCCTTCTCCCCACAGAGTGTCTGGAAAGGACCAGTAACATAGCTATTGTCCTTATGTCCACTTACCTTGCATCTGCCATTGCTGCTCTGACTGCTGCCCAGGCCACCACAAAGACAGCTGGGAAACCTATAAATATGAAAAATGGATTGCTTGCTGTTGAATTTTTCTTGAGAAATGAAATAAAAATAGAATGTTCCCTTTTTTCCGGGGAAAGGAAAGGAACAGAAGCATTTGCATAGAGCAGGCTCCCCCAGAGAACAAAGGGCCGTCTGCTCAGTGGAGTAGCACTTCCAAGAGGTCATTATTCAAAACAACTGCATAGCCCTGGGTGCTTCTAACACTCAGCATTTGCAAGGGATTAGCATTCTGAGCACAGATATTTATTATCCACAAGGTACAGAGGAGAGGGAGAAGAGGAGAGTGATTAGTCACTTCCAATGAAATCTGTGCAGGGAAAAAGGCTGACTGTCACTCAGTGTAGAGAGCAACTGCAACACACCCTTTTGTAAGAAGTAGCACCTCCAACTAACCTTAAAATAGTAAAGGAACATCTGACCTAGAGCTGTTTCAGAGGAAACAGCTCTAGGTCAGATGTTCACAATGTTTTTCTGGCATGGGGGTTCCATCTGATTTTTAGGGTATGATACAACAAGTGGGACCGAGACAAAAACCATATTTGATTTAATTTATACTGAAACTGAATTAACATGAATAGATTTAATACAGTTATGTTCCAGTATGGATTTAATGTTTCTTGTCATATTAAAAATACAGGTTAATAACAATTTTTGGATGTGTCTGGGTCCCATTTGCCAAACCACACTTTGTTAAGAAAAATTCCTATGTTTTGCAATAGTGATTTGGGTTTGATTTAGTGAGCAATAATTATTTGAACTATAGCCCAATAATGTATACTATCCAAATTAAACTGAATAAAATCCATCTTCCAATTACCCTGATGAACTTTATGCTCTCAGAAATTTATCACGCCTTGGACCCTAGCAGTTGTTGTGTGTTTACATTACAGCTATCTCTGACTTGGGAACGTTTAGCTTCTGTCTCAGCCTTCAAAATCCCTATGACATGAGTGATCTGATCTAAGGAGTCTAGAGTTTGATGTACAATTTTGAATAGACTGCTTTTTCTGGAAATAAAAATTCATGTATGGTAACAAATTAATTTTTATATAGATCTTTCTCTAAGTAATTAAAATGTTAATTTTATTTATAGAATAGAAAAAGTCTAATAATTCAGTGATAATCCATATAAAGTGCTAAAATCAGGTTATACCAGAGAAAACATAAGTATATCAAAGAAATATGGTATGTAACACACAAAATGAAAATTAACAGGAAATAATGACATAGAAATTCAGGGCTGTATCTGGTTAATGAAATTGGACATTTACTGAATGAAAGAACTTTCTATTCATAGAGAATACCAAATAGCACTATGTTATACAAATATTTAAAGTAGTATAACACTAAGCAAGTCTTCGAAGAGAGTGATTTAGCAAGAACTTCCCAAACATCCATTACATTCTTAGGGCTTCCTGTGAAAAAAAAAATATTGAAAATGGAATTATCTGATCCACTAATTTAGTTACATTATCAAACAAAGCAGTAAGGTTTGTTTGATGCAATCTGTTTTTACCAAACTCATGCTGGCTTCTAGTAATCACCATGTTCCTTCCCAGGTGCTCACAAATTTGCTGCTTCATTATCTTTTCTAGAATTTTCCAAGGTACTGATGTCAAACTGACTGGTCTCTAGTTTCCTGGTTCCACTTTTTCCCCTTTCTGAAAATTGGAACTATATCAGCTCTTTTCCATCCTCTGGCTCCAAGAGCTTTGAAAGATTTTGTTCAGTGGTTCTGAGATCACATCTGCCGGCTCCTTTACAACCTTGGGAGTACAAATGGGTGGAAGCTCATTCCAGAGAGATTCAATCTGGAACTAAGGAGAAATTTCCTGACAGTGAGAACAATTAGTCAATGGAACAGCTTGCCTCCCAGAATTGTGGTTGGGTCTTCACTGTAGGTTTTTAAGAAAAGAATGGACAACCATTTGGTGGCGAATCTATGGCACACGTGGCATGCAGAGCCCTATCTGTGGGCATGTGTGCAGTCACTCCAATCATGTTTCTCCATCGCGTTTCACCCAGTCAATTCTAACTTCTCACAAAAGAAAAAGATCTCATGAAGTTGGAATTGATTAAGTGAACTTTTTCACTTGCGCGCTTCACAATGGGGGAGACGGCAGTGATGGGGTTCAATTTTTTTTACTACCGGTTCTGTGGGTGTGGCTTGGTGGGCGTGGCAGGGGAAGGATACTGTAAAATCTCCAGTCAGAGGTGGCATTCGCTGGTTCTCCGAACTACTCAAAATTTCCGCTACCGGTTCTCCACAACTGGTCAGAACCTGCTGAATACCACCTCTTGGAGACAGGGTCCCATCCTGCTCCTGAAGCCCATTATGATGCGGAGCCACAATGCAACCCATACGGCTCTTTCACCCCTCTGCTGTGGCTCCCTGTTGCCCTGTCGTGGCAGAGGGATGAAAGAGCTGTCACCTTGTCACAGCGGTGGCGATAGCTGGAGCAAAGCGCCCCTGTACTTGCCTTTGTGCGGCAACAGGATTCCACCTTCGTCGTGATACATTTGCTGTTGCTGCCAGCAAAGAGGGCTGGGAGAGAATGGTGGGGGCAGATCTTGTGGGGCAGGGACTGTCTCCCAAGCGTGGGGAAGTGCTCCTCTCCCCCGCCGAGCACCAAGCAGAAACGCCCCCATTGGCGAGTTGGATGGTGGAGAGGCCTGGTCCAGCTCTCACAGTGGGAAACTGTTCGGCACCTCCAGACATGAGCTGCCACCTTTGAAATGCACTGTGCCTTTGAGGAAGCCGGGCAGCGGTAGCTGGGGCCATGGAGGGAGAAGGAAGCAGGGGGAAGGGTAGGGGGATTTCTAGGAGGAGAAGCCCAGGTGGCTTTCTCTTTGGTGTAGGGACTCAATAAAGACTCAATAAAAATCCAATAAATGGGGAAGATAAAGACCCGGCAGTCCAGTCCAAAAACAGGGGTGAGGTTTGTTTGTCGGAGGATCAGATAGGAAATCAGGTGAAATCTGGGCGGGAGGCTATTCAGACAGGGATATGCCTGGGTCTTTTCTTCCCTCCCCCTTAAATCCCCCCTCCCGGCTTTCTTCCCTAGCCTTGTTTTAAGAGGAGGGGGAAGCAAGTTGGGCTAATAGTAGCTAAAAGGCTGTGGGGGGGTTAGGATTTATTAAAAGCAGGGATGGGGAAAATATGCCATTCCTTTTGCAAGGGCCCAGGGAAAGTGGAATAAAAATAGGTGTGTGTGTGTGTGAGTGTGTGTGTGTGTGTGTGTGTGTGTGTGTGTGTGTGTGTAAATAACAGCCCGGGATAGCTTCAGCCACAAACAACAGCTGCTTTTGTTTTTGCTGAGAGCTTCGAAGCTACACAGCATTCTTTAATAAATACTAACAATAATGAATCATAATATACAGGATTAAAGGAAGGAAGGTGAAATCAGAGAAGGGGGGAAGGAAGGAGGGGAGAAGAAGGAAGAAGAAGGAAGGAAGGAAGGAAGGAATAAGGATGTGATGGCCCTCCAGAGGCTACTGCACTACACTCCCATCATTCCTGAATTGTGCTGTTAAAGAAATCCAGTGCCACCAGGGAGAAGTCAAGTTGTCAAAGAGTGATTGAAATTCCTCACAAAACCTCATTATTCAGGTTAAATTGCCTGAATTGGCACTTTGTGATAAATAAGTGGGTTTGGGGTTACATTTTGGGCACTCAAAAAAAAGGGACGTGGTGGCTCAGTGGCTAAGACTGACCTTGTCAATCAGAAAGGTCGGCAGTTCAGCGGTTTGAACCTCTAGCACTGCGTAACAGAGTGATCTCCTGTTACTTGTCCCAGCTTCTGCCAACCTAGCCGTTCAAAAGCATGTAAAAATGCAAGTGGAAAAATAGGGACCACTTTGGTGGGAAGGTAACAGCGTTCTGTGCACCTTCAGCATTTAGTCATGCTGGCCACATGACCACAGAGATGTCTTCGGACAGCACTGGCTCTTCGGCTTTGTAACGGAGATGAGCACCACCCTCTAGAGCCGGAAACTACTAGCACGTATGTGCGAAGGGAACTTTTACCGTTACCTTTTTGGGCACTCGGTCCCTAAAAGGTTTGCCATCACTGGTATAAGGTCTCCTGCCATGGGCAGGCGATTGGATGAAAAGACCCCCAAAGTTTTTCTTGCCCTATGATTCTATGTATCTATGAATCTTGTTTTATCTGTTTCATAAAAAGTAATGTATTTAAAACCTAAATTGAAAACAGTTTCCACTTACCAATTACACAATAAAATTCCAAATCCAAAGCAAAGAAGATAGTCCTTAACTTTGGGAAGAACTGAGACAAGATCAGCCAGAAGACTTCAAAGCTTTGTTCTAAAATACTGGATGATCCTGTTTTGCAAGTGTCTCCCTCCTAGATGGACAATATTCAATGTACATTCTTGATTTTTGTAGCTCTTTTACCTTATGGTCTAAAACCAAGCCTAATAATGAAGGGCAAAATGCCACTATTAAATACATTCACCAGTGTTTCACTGACTTTTAAATTTACTATTAGTGGATAGACACATGATCACATTCCATCCCCTACAAAAGTTTTGGATATGGCTTCCAGAGACTTTCCAAACATTACAGCTAACCTATAATATTTAATGTGGCAAATGCAGAACTTAAAGATATACTGACTAATCATATTAATTTCATTTACTAGTTCATCTTATTTTAATTAAGAAATACATTTTGATTTGGACTTTCTTGTCCTTGAGCATTTAAGGTTTACAAGCATCCAAACTTGGTTTTCAAGTTCTATATTAAAAAATGAATGGAATGAACAGAGGCATGGGACTAAGCTAGCTATAAGAAGGATGGAAAGATGGGCTGTATTATTTCTTTATTTCTCTTTCTGTTAGAAAAATACAAGAGGATAGCAAAATCTTGATTAGCAAACATAATTGATAAAACTTTATTCTGTTTACAGTTGTAATGATTTTTATATTATCTTACCAGCAAAAACAAAAGATGTTAGCTTATCTCAGTTAAAATGAATTCTGATTACTTGTCCAGACCGTAATGGGAAAAATAACTTTATAAAATCTTGAGATATAAGTCATTGTTTACTTTGATTCATTATTTCCTTTAATAAAATTATTAGATACATTATATGAGTGATAGTGATATTCTTTTGTGAACAAGCACAATCTCTGACAATAGAATATCCAGTAGAAAACAATCTATGAAGCTCAAGATTATACTGTTTGGTTCTTGGTGCTCTCTGAGCTTAATTGTTTACTTTCAAACATTTTCTTTTCTGGCTCGGTAGCATCAGTGCACACTAAAGATATTACCTAACCAGCTAATAGAACATCTGCAAGAAAACAACCAAACTCAGAGACCATCAACACCCAACATCTAGTAAAAGCTTATTTTCAAAATGAGATGAAAGCAAGTGTTAAAGTTTAAAATGCAATCCTATAGGAACTTACATCACATTTAGATTAATGGGGTATTTACTGAGAGTTTTAATTTCAATTTCAGTGGAACCTAAGAACAACTAATTTAGGCTTTTTACTTGACATATGGTAGTCTGGAATTGCTCTGAGTGAATGTGCAAAAATTAAATTGCCTAAATGAATGCAACATATTGATCTAGAATACATTAATGATTGATTCCAACCTTTGTTTCTGAATACAATAATATAATTAAGGGCCACTATAATGACATATCTTTCCAATGAATTAAATTTAGAGTAGATACAGTATTGTCTCAGTTTTAAAGAAAACCAATTCTTGAATGAAAAACAATGTATCTTACCCCAGCCTATTAAGATAAAACCCCATAGGTACTTGGTTTCCGAAAAGAAAGCCACAAATATTAAGCTGTGGAGATAGAGACCTTCGACCAAGATCCAATAGTAATTTGTTGCCAAGAAGTAAATAAACATCACCACAGTAATCTTGCACCACACCTATTGATCAAAAACAAAAAATGTCCAGTGTGTATTGGGAAAAATAATTAAATCTAACAGTTTACTAACTTCATCGTCAAAAACATTAAATAGATATAGTGAGGTATTAAAACTAAGAGTAGAGCTACTTACCTTTTTTTTGTTTTCTCAGACATATTTAAAATTCATATAAATTTTATAAATTTATTGGTTTAAAATAAGAGAATTAAATAGGAAAAACATCCCCATTCGGTACCAATGTTGCTTGTCTGAGATAGTCAGATAGTCACTGCTATAGCCGAACCACTAAGCACAATCTACGAGATATCTTTTAGATCCAGCAGTTTGCCCGACCTATGGTCATTAGCCAACGGTCATTCCTATCTTCAAAAAGGGAGACCCCAGCCTAGTTGAAAATTACAGACCAATCTCATTGTGTTGTGTCATCAGCAAAGTCATGGAATCAATCATCAACCAATCCATTACCCTGCACTTAGAGACAAACAACCTACTCTCTAACAAACAGTTTGGTTTCAGGAAAAACTTGCCCTGTAATCTACAACTCCTACACTGCAAAAACATTTGGACTACACAATTCGACCAGGGTAAAGTGATAGATGCAATTTACATAGACTTCTGCAAAGCCTTTGATTCAGTGGTACACAACAAATACTGATAAAACTGCGCTCTTAGGGCATTTCTGGATCACTGCACAAATGGATAGCTGCATTCCTGTCAAACAGGCAACAAGTAGTCAAAATAAGGAGTGCCCTATCAAACCCTGCACCAGTTAACAGCGGAGTCCCCCAAGGCAGCATTCTAGGAGCCACTGTCTAATTTACATAAACGACCTCCTCATTTAAAAGCAACTGCATCCTCTTCACTGATGATGTAAAACTAACACCATTGACAATACTGCTGCCCTACAAAGCGACCTTGACTATATGTCAGCTGGTGCTCCATTCAAAATCCAAGAAAGAAATACTTTGACTCCATTAATCAGAGAAAATATATCTTTTACTGGAAATCAAGTGGTAGCAACAAAAGAATTCTGAATCTGAGAAAATGAGCGCGTAAATCACATATACAAAGTAATGGCAGTGTTCCCATCCCCAATAGTTCAATTGGCTCATCCAATTAAAAGTTGTGTAGATCATCATGTGGGCATCTCCAGGTGGTGATGAGGCCTCTGTCCATTGACCTTGACCTATTTTGATAAAGAGTTGCAGCTGTGCATAGCATAGGATAGAAGCCTAAGCAAGAATCTACCCCCCCCCAACTTATACAGTTCTGGTTTGTAACACCTCCAGCTCACTTTCCATAACCATTCCCCCCTCCTCCCCCCGTTACTTATGACAGCCGAAAGATGCAAAGCAAAGGGAGAAAATCTTGAAGGCTGACACTATGTGTCAGAATGGACGAACAATTGGCAACTTCAAAACTCAACCAACAAATGCTCTGTCTTACACATTGGCAACAAAAATCAGAACACTAAATACAAACTGGGCGGATATGACCTTGTAGACGACTCTCACTCTGTCAAGGACCTAGGAGTACTCATTTCAAAAGATCTAAGCTCCAAAGTTCACTGTAACAGCATTGCCAAAAAGACATTAAGAGTTGTTAACCTAATTTTGCGAAGCTTCTTCTCTGGTAACACTGAACTGTAAATCAGGGCATACAAAACCTTCGCCAGACCAATTCTCAAATACAGCTCATCTGCCTGTAATCCACACTGTATAACGGACATTAATACAATTGAATGAGTCCAGAGGTATTTCACAAGAAGAGTACTCCACTCCTCAGCTCGCAATAGATTATGCCACCAGGCTTGAAATTTTGGGCCTAGACAACTTAGAACTATGCTGCCTATGGTCTGATCTAAGCTTAGTACACAAAATTGTCTGCTACAACAAAATACTTGTCAATGACTGCTTCAGCTTCAACCACAATAACATATGGGCAAACAATAGATACAAACTCAAAGTAAACCGCTCCAAACTTGATTGCAGAAAATACAACTTCAGCAACGTACTGGTCAATGCCTGGAACTCACTACCTGACTCTGTTGTTACATCCTCAAACCCCCAAAACTTTAACCTTAAACTGTCTATCGTGGACCTCACTCCATTCCAAAGAAGTCTGTGAGGGGGTGTGCATAAGCGCACCAGGGTGCCTACTGTCCCTGTCCTACTGTTCCCATTTATTCATACTCATTTATTATGTATATATTTATACCTGTTTGTTTTCTTAAGTTTTCGCGGGTACTTACATGTATGGTATTCAGCTTTGTTCGGGTATTTCCCCACGTCATTATAGTTGTGCTTTACACCTGTTTATACCTACATGTTTATATGTTATGTTCATACTTATACTTGTTTTCTCATACATGCTTGACAAACTAAACAAAACAAATAAAATAGTTCACTGGGGCAGCAATAATGAGCAACCAAGTTGTATTGTACCAACTACCATTAACCCCAGATAGCCCCAAAAAGTGAGAAATACAGCCCAAAATATTTGGGAGGCAAATATTCTCTCTCCCTCCCTCCCTCCCTCCTTCCCTCCCTCCCCCCCCCCCAATCTATCTATATATTCAGAGACTTGTTTCTTTAAAAAACAAATATCCATTGAGAAGTTAATGTTCAGTTCACAAATGTACACGTAAGCAGACAAAGCTCATTCATCAATCTGGGGAAAAAAATGTGGCTAACGTGAAGTAGCTTTCTATATATCCCAACACAAGCATTGAACTCCTAAATGTTTTATAGCATGATAATCCAATCAAGCAAAGCAGACCTCATAGTTTGGTTTCTGAACAGTGTAAATTCAGACAACCACCCTGTATTTGATATATCCATTTCAAAATCTATGAAATTGATCTTCTTCTACTCTATTGCCAAAAAGTATTGCCAACAGAAATACAAGATGTTGTATAAGTTGGACAGATTAGCTACAAGCAAAGAAAGGGTTTCTGCTATTGTTCCAATCAAAGATGGGTCAAAGACTCTTCAGATGCTCCAGCATGTAAGCCAGAGCTAAAAAATGCTAGAGGAGGTCAGGACAGATGGCATTTCCAATCTATGTAATATGTAATCAAGAAAAGGTTATCGTCTACTTTCACCAATTCTGGCTAATTATATTCCCATCCCTGTATTTTCAATTGGGAAGCAATTTAAATTAATATATATTCTCAGATATTGCCATTAAAATTTATTGATCCTAAGTTACTTTAAACAAAGGCATATATTTACAGAGAAATACTCAGTACATGGATAGAAACTAACGACTACTGATTTTAGGTCTGCTGAAATGTATCACTTAAAGGACCAGGAATGACTTTTGGGACTGCTCATGGAACAGACATTGACCCTGAAATTAATAGTTTTTATGACTGGGGAAATACTGAAAAACAAGAGAGAGCAATACTTACATACTGAGATATGTCCATTACCGGAGTCTGTATAATATTTTGTAGGTCACTTGTGAGTAGTGAGTCAAAATCTTTGTCTCCAAAATGAGGATGAACAACTTTATCTTTAATAAAAATGCTGGTAGCTCTGAGCATGAAAGAGGCAAACAAATGCAGATGTATACAATTCCGGGTGCAGTGGAGCCTCCTAGTTTGGGGGAAAAACTTTTTAAGGGACATAGAAGGATCATATTGTTTAGTGTCTATTTCCAATGAGGCAGTGAAACTAAAACTCCCCCTTATTTTTGGTCTCTGGCATCTATTGCTTAAAAGTGCACTATTTCTGAACATGGTAGTTCCATTTCGATATCTTAATAAATAGCTATAAGACATTATTTAGTCTTCTTCTTGAATTTGGATTTTTTTTTTAAAAGAGCCAGATCAACAGGCATCACATAGTCTTGTGGGTGTGAAGTGGCTGTATTAATCTTAATAACAACAAAAAAAGACAAAATGGCAATTTTGAACAGGGACAACTAATAAGGATATGTGCATAATACAGTTCAATGAGCCTGCTCTTTTAAAAGCAGAAACTATTTTCGTCCAAGATCATTTGATCAATCTTTTCTATATTCTAAATCAAAAATATCTGTTACCACAAAAACATTTTCTCCATTAATTATTCCATGGATTATATATTTCACATTGCTTCCAGAAAGGATTTAACTGTAAAATGATGTATTTTACACACATAAATTTAAGGAGGAAGTATTGAGCTTGAGCTCTGTCGTTATGTCTTTTCAGAGAGCATAGCGTCTCCGGAAAAAAAAGACACTCTTCTGAATAATCCATAATGCTCCAGTTTATGCTCAACCCAGCACTTGGTGCTTGTAAATCATGGCTTTGAGTTCAGAATGATATGTGATCCCATCTACCATGATTTATTGAACAACCTATCATTGAGGCAAATAGAAGTTTAGTGCATTGGGTGAATCCAGACTGTTTGTAATTGCAGAAGTTTGGTGCTAAGCAGTGTTTGAGAGGTTGAGATTTCAGCCGCAGAAGGAGCTGAGAATAAGGTTAATCCTTTTCAGACTTCTTTTGTTCAGAATCCTAGGATTTCATCTTCATAAACACTGATATACCCATTTCTTCTTTCTGATTTTTTTTACTGTTTCAAATTGTAATTTACCATGCATGTGTGTGTGTGTGTGTAAGAAAAAGAAATGAATTTTCATCAAAGATATTTTGTTGAATATGAGTTTTAATTCTAAGCCATGAAACTCGATTTTATTATTCTGTTTCATTTATCAATGTCAGCAGAAGACCATGAATTGCAGATGAATGGGGGGATGATTTTTAGAGCTCATTTAAAGCAGAGATTATGAATCAGTGGCCTACAAGCCACAATCAGCTCAGAAAGCCTCTCTGTGCATCCCACTCAAGTCATCTCATCTCGACTGTTTTTGCCCTTTCCCCTGATTTATCTATCTCTGCTTTGGGCTTTACACCATTATAAACTTGAGATGATGCCCACCTGATAATTACTACTTTTTATTAAGACACAATATTCCTTTCTGCTCTACTCAATTGTACAGCTACCACTAGCTTCTCTTAGTACTCTCAACTGGATGAAACATTGCTATATAAATTTTTATAACTATAAAAATATTGTTTTTATAAATAAAAAACAAAATAAATATCTCTTTGCTCCTTCCATTTTGCGCCCCTCTCTCTATCACCTAATTAGGTCCCTGCTCAGTATCACCTCTGCTTGTTCAAAGACATGGCTTAAGCTTTGATTTCTTTCTCTCTACAATGCAATATTTTGAGAAAATGAAAGGAAAAAAGAGACCAGATTTGCATCATATTAAGCCATAGATTGCCTTAAACATGGTCTGTTGCATAAACCACCACCAATCACATATTAAGTCATAAATCATGACTTAGAAATACAAAGTCTGGGTTCACGTTTCATATAAAGGAAAAGCAAACCGTGTTTTGATTCAATTTGATGAGTAAACCTAATCAGGTAGTGGTATGAGGATAAAGGTGAGATGTGTGTCTGTGTGTCTTTGTATTTGTGTGTTGTGAATGCAATGTCTACATAGCTTTTGGCCTAGGTCCACTTGCTGCTACCTTAGTAAATCACTCACCTGAAGTAGCCAATGATGAAAATAGCCACAGCCAGAGAGGAGAAGGAAATGGAGTATCCCACTGTGTACATGACAGAGAGATGTTCAAAGAATTTCCTCTGAAGAAAAAAACAGCAGAAGAACTTCTAAATATCAGTTTTACTTGGGTAGAGAATTGTTAGATGTGACTTTATCTTTAATTATTTTGTCTTAAAAATCAATAATTTCTTAAATGTATATTTTTACAGCACTGAACTGAGCATGGAATGCACTCAACGACTACAGTAGTAATGTTCAAAGCTAGTCTACTAATTTCTTGTATAGGGAGAGAGCCCTGAGCCAGCACCACAAATCAGCCTTGATCAGCTCTTGGAGAGCACACAATTTCTATGCATGGATTCCCACTGTTATTTAATATTGTTGAGTGATCAGAGCCTAATTGCAAAATTCATTTATAAGATGTCATATTCTAAAGAACCACATAAAGGCAAAGTTTCTCAGGAAATAGTATGTTAGACAATTAATTTCTATTTTGTTTTTCTGAGCATGTGCCAGATCTCTTCTTTAACAAAAAAGAAAATAACTAAGGGACCTAGAAAAGAAGATATAACCAGTCAAATTCTTTTTGTCCCATAATGTCCCATCAGAGGTGGTGTTCAGCACGTTCTGACCAGTTCTGGAGAACCGGTAGCGGTAATTTTGAGTAGTTTGGAGAACTGGCAAATACCACCACTGACTGGCTCTGCCCGCATCTATTCTCTGCCTCCCAAGTCCCAACTGATTGGCTGGGTCTTCTTTTGTTGCCCTGCACAGGAGAATGGAGCTGGAAAGCAGGTTAGTGGGGTGGGGAGGGGATGGAGATTTTGCAGTATCCTTCCCCTGCCATGCCACCAAGCCACACCCACTAATCCATGCCATGCCCACCAAGCCACACCCACAGAACCAGTAGTAAAAAATTTTGAATCCCATCACTGGACGGCATCGTGTATCATAAAAGATATTTAAGTGCTCACTATTTCTGCAATAGCCCATTTTGTTCCTCTTCTCCTTATCTGGAGTAAGAGTCCATACCTTTCGCAGACTGATTTCTGTTTGTAGGAAATGGAGGCACTCAGAATAATTAGACCATGTTCGGTTTAAACTGTGCACATAAGCCCATGTTCCATCTGAATTACAATGACGGAAGGCCATACCTATAAGAAAGAATTAACATTTCCATTACTCTGAAGACCTTTTTCTCTCCCTGGTATCATGTAAGGTCAATGATTCAAAAGGGAAAGGAGCATACCTTGGTGATTAAAATCATAGATATAAGAAGGGCAAGGCATAGCTAAGGTTTTTCCTGCTGACCCCCTGGGCCAGCAGATTAGACCATCCCATTCTGGAAAGCACTCCTCTCCTGCTGAAAAATGAAAGAAAGTAGCTTTGAAGAGAAGCCATGGAACTGCTTGAAGAATTTCATTGAAAAAGCACATGAAAAATGTTTTTAGAATATGTTATCCAAATTAGCTGGAAAATGTTACTGATGAATGAGAGAGAATACCTTCCACTTCAGAAACTGAAGCTATGAACAACGGGGAACAAAAATGCAGGCACTTTAGCTCATTTTGGTAAATAATTGTGATACTCACTTGATTGTATATATGTTTATTATAGAATAGTTATATTATCTGTTATAGTAGCAAGCTATTGCATCTCAACATTACATGGAAAGTAACACGTGATCTTGCTTATTTTCCACAATTCTTATTTATTTCTTATGTCTATATTTATTCCTTCATGGATTACTGGCTTGTTGTGGCAAAAGGGCTTGTGTAGCTCAATGAAGCTATGAGCTATGTCATGCAGGGCCACCCAAGACGGACAGGTCATAGCAGAGAACTCCACTGGAGAAGGAAATGGCAACCCACTCCAGTATTTTTGCCATGAAAACCCCATGGAGAGTACCAAAAGGCAAAAAGATATGACACTGGAAGATGAGCCCCTCAGGTCGGAAGGTGTCAAATATGCTACTGGGGAAGAGCAGAGGGCTAGTACTAGTAGAGCCAGAAAGAGTGAAGCGACTGGATCAAAGCTGAAAGGACACTCGGCTGTGGATGCATCTCGTGGTGAAAGGAAAGTCTGATGCTGTAAAGATCTATTCTCCATAGAAATCTGGAATGTAAGATCCATGAATCAAGGCAAGCTGGACATGATCAAGCAAGAGATGACAAGAGTGAACATCAACATCTTAGGAATCATAAAACTAAAATGGACAGGAATGGATGAATTTAATTCAGATGACCATCAGGTATACTACTGTGGGTAAGAATCCCTCAGAAGAAATGGAGTAGCCTTCATAGTCAATAAAGCAGTAGGAAAAGCAGTACTGGGATACAATCCTCAAAATGACTGTCAGACTGTGCTCCTTCTAAATCCCAAGAAAGAAATACTCAGACTCCATGGTGTAGAGCAGGATTATTCTTTTACTGGAAATTGAATGGTAGCAACAAGATATCTTGAGGCTGACATTCGGACCCCCTAGAAGAAGGACATTAGTCCCTGTAAGAAAAAACAATCATATATTAACATTGACATACATTTCTATGGTTTATCAGGATATTTGGCATAAAATTCCTTAAGCAGTTCAGGAGCCCTAATGTCTTTCTCATTAACCCATTCAGCATGGGATGGAGGAAAATGTTTCCACGCTACAAGATATTGGACATGACCCCTCCATTTCCTAGAATCTAGAATTTCTTTAATCTCGAAATGTTGTTCCCCCTCGATCAACAGAGGTACAGGGGGATCAGCCTGTGTCGGTCTCAAGGTACTGGTATGTTCTGGTTTCAACAAACTGACGTGGAAAACTGGATGAATGCGACGAAGAGTTTTGGGTAAAGTCAGTTGAACAGTCACCGGATTTACGATCCTCTCAATGGGAAAAGGTCCCACATACTTAGGACCCAACTTCTTCGATTTCTGGGTAGTCTGCAAGTATTTGGTCGAGAGGAATACTTTATCGCCCACCTTATACAACATCTGTGGGGCTCGCTTTCTGTCAGCAAATTTTTTATGAGATTGGTGCGCCTCGTCCAGAGCTTTTCGAGCAACCGGCCAATTTAGTTGAAGTTTAGATATCCAATCGCCCAACGATTGGACATTGGGGTTTTCTCGAGGCAGTTCAGGTATGGGCACAAAATCTTGTCCTGTGGCTACTTTGAACGGAGTAAACCCCGTACTACTGTGTACAGAGTTGTTATACGCCACCTCCGCAAAAGGCAGTAAGTCCACCCAATTATCTTGCTGATAGTTTATATAACATCTGAGGTATTGTTCTAACACCCCGTTTGTCCTCTCACAGGCCCCATTAGTTTGGGGATGATGGGCGGAGCTTAAGCTCTGGGTGGAGCCTATCAACTTCAAGAATTCCCTCCAAAAGTTCGAGGTAAATTGGACTCCCCGATCAGAAACTACACGCTCAGGAACGCCGTGCAACCTGTAGACATGTATAATGAACATCTTGGCCAATGATTTCGCTGAAGGAATCTTGGAGCAAGGGATGAAATGGGCTTGTTTGGAAAACAAATCAGTCACTACCCAAATGACAGTGTGTCCAACACTCTCGGGTAGATCTACTATAAAGTCCATGGAAATTTCCTTCCAAGGAGCAGTTGGCCTGGCCACATTCTGCAACAAACCTGGTGGTTTACCAGGAGGCCTCTTTGCTGAAGCACAAACTGGACAACTCGCCACATAAGTCTCAATGTCCTTTTTCAACGAAGGCCACCAGAACTGTCGTTTCACCAAATGTAGAGTCTTCACAAACCCAAAATGACCAGCCGCTTTAGAATCGTGAGTTTGTTGTAAAACTTGGCCTCTCAGAATTTGAGGTACATACAATTTTGCACCTATCCAGGCTAGACCATCCCGAACGGTGCAGTTATTCGCATTTGCTAGGAACCACTCATCTGTTTTCAAAGCCTCCTTAAATCGTTCCATCAGGTCAGTGGACAGATCTCTCTCCTGGTTCCTTTTTTGTGCTCTGGTAACTACGGGAGCAGCCAACTGTGTAGTGGACACGATTGGTCTTACCACTTCATTTCGGATACTGTTGTATTGAGGCATTCTAGACAAAGCATCTGCCATAAAAATTTTTCCCCCTGGGATATACTTCAACGAGAAATTGAATCGCTTGAAAAATTGAGCCCACCTAACCTGCTTAGGGGATAGCTTTCGAGGAGTTTTCAAAGCTTCCAGATTTTTATGGTCCGTCCATACCTCAAATGGATGTTTCGCTCCTTCCAAAAAATGTCTCCAGGCTAGTAAAGCCCAACGGACTGCAAACGCTTCCTTCTCCCAGACAGCCCATCTCCTTTCAGTGTCAGTCAATTTACGGGAGGTATAAGCGCACGGCTGTAGTGTCCCCTTCTCATTTAACTGAAGTAAGACCGCCCCCACCGCCACATCACTTGCATCAGCTTGGATCACGAAAGGGGCGTCCATGTCGGGGTGTTTCAATACTGGTTCTGCAGCGAAAAGTCTTTTAAGCTTTTCGAATGAGGCTTGGCATTCCATGGACCAGTTCAATGGTTGGCTGGGTTTTGGTTTCGCTTCCCCCTTTGTCTTCAGGAGGTTGGTGATGGGCATGGCTATTTTTGCAAAAGACGGGATGAACTGCCGATAGAAGTTGGCAAACCCAAGAAAACTTTGAAGTTGCTTCCGGGTTCTCGGTGGGGCCCAATCCAATACAGCTCGCACTTTCTCTGGGTCCATCTCGATGCCCTCGGGAGAGATACGATATCCCAAGTAGTCGATTTTTTCTTGATGGAACTCACACTTGGACAGTTTGGCGTACAGTTTGGCTGCCCTCAGTTTGTGCAACACCGAGCGTACCAGCTTCACATGTTCGTCTCTATTCTCCGTGTAGATGAGAATATCATCAAGGTAGACCAGAACCCCCTTGTATAGATGTTCGTGAAGCACTTGATTTATCATTTGCATGAAAACAGCGGGCGCCCCCTGTAGGCCAAAAGGAAGAACGTTGAACTGGAAACAACCCATCGGGCAGTTGAACGCAGTCTTCCACTCGTCGCCTTTCTTAATTCGGATTCTGTAGTATGCCTCCCTCAAGTCCAACTTTGTGAAAATCTTCCCCTTCTCCAGGTGGGCCAGCATGTCCTTCATCAGGGGGAGGGGGTACACGTTCTCCACCGACACAGCGTTCAAGTTTCGGTAGTCCACCACCAAACGTTTGGAACCATCTTTCTTCTCGCGGAACATTACGGGGGCCGCCACTCGAGGTCTGGCAGGTGTGATGAAACCACGTTTCAGGTTCTTGTCGATGAACGCTCTCAGTTCTTCCAGCTCCCCCGGTGTCATCGAATACAGCTTCGGTTTCGGGAGCGTTACCCCCGGCAGAAATTCAATGCTGCAATCGGTTGATCGATGGGGAGGGAGCTCGTCAGAGGCCTCTTCGCTAAACACTTCTCTTAAGTCCCAGTATTCCTTCGGGATTTTCTCCTCCCCATCCGCTCGTTCGACACCTGCGGAAGCTGCCTCGGCCGGAACTTGGGGCTTCGGATGGGACTTCTCCTCCCCCTTCGGATGGTGGGGCTCCTCCCCTTCCGGTGGCCGATCGGTGCGGATGCGTATCCAGCCCTCTCTCCAGTTCACCTGGGGGTTCCACTTCCGAAGCCAAGGTAATCCCAATATTAGAGGCTGTTCCATCCCAGGGGCCACAATAAAGCATAAGATCTCGCGGTGAGTTCCCATGGTCATCTCTAAAGGTTCCGTTATAAAGCTCGCCGGGCAACCTCCCGCCACAGATCCGTCCAATTGACAGAAAGCTATGGGCGTTCTTAAAGTTCTCAGTCCGATGCCCATATCTTTAACTACTTTCATGTTAATTACACACCTCGTGCACCCCGAGTCCAACAAGGCCAATGGAGCTATGAAGGGAACGTTTCATGCAAAGATGGGCATGATAAAGGACCAAAATGGCAGGGACCTAACAGAGGCAGAAGAGATTAAGAAGAGGTGGCAAAATTACACAGAAGAACTATATAAGAATGAGCTTAACATCCCTGAAAACCATGATGGGGTGGTCACTAACCTCGAGCCAGACATCCTAAAATGTGAAGTGAAATGGGCCTTAGGAAATCTGAGCAACAAGAAAGCTAGTAGAGATGACAGTATTCCAGCTGATGATGCAGTAAAAGTTCTACACTCAATTTGCCAGCAAATTTGGAAAACTCAACAGGATTGGAAAAGGTCAGTTTACATTCCAATTCTAAAGAATGGCAATGCCAAAGAATGTTCAAACTACCACACCATTGCACTCATTTCACATGCTAGCAAAGTTATGCTTAAAAGCTAGACTCCAGCAGTATGTGGATCGAGAAATACCAGAAGTGCAGGAAGGATTTCGAAGAGGCAGAGGAACTAAATATCAAATTGCCAACATACGCTGGATCATGGAGAAAGCTAGGGAGTTCCAGAAAAACATATACTTCTGCTTCATTGACTTCATTGACTAAAGCCTTTGATTGTGTGGATCACAACAAATTGTGGCAAGTTCTTAAAGAGATGGGAGTACCAGACCATCTTATTTGTCTCTTGAGAAACCTATACGCGGGTCAAGGAGCAACAGTGAGAACTGGACACGGAACCACTGATTGGTTCAAAATTGGAAAAGGAGTCCAGCAAGGCTGTATACTGTTGCCCTGTCTATTTAACTTATATGCAGAGCACATCATGAGAAAGGCAGGGCTAGATGAATCACAAGTTGGAATTAAGATTGCTGGGAGAAATATCAACAACCTCAGATATGCAGATGATACCACTCTAATGGCAGAAAGTGAAGAGGAACTAAAGAGCCTCTTGATGCAGGTGAAGAAGTGCAAAAGTTGGCTTGAAACTCAACATTAAGAAAACTGAGATCATGGCATCCAGCCCTCTCAATTTCTGGCAAATAGATGGGGAAGAAATGGAGTTATTGGAAATTGGAGTTGACCAATTTTCCTGGGCTCCAAGATCACAGCAGATGGGGACTGCAGACAAGGAATTAAAAGACGCTTGCTTCCGGGAAGGAAAGCTATGGCAAAGCTGTGGCTCATCCCTGATTAAAGCTGACATCAGTGCTGCAGGCAGGCCAGAAGACTATTATGGTTGGGGCAGAGAGAGTTGCTGCTATCAGCAGACTTTAAACAATCCTTGTACCTGAATTTTAGACAGGAGGGTAATGAAAACATCCATGTTCTCAGCACAGAAGCCTATACATCAAACAATAAGGGTATGTTTTCTTGCATTCCATCCATTTCTACATTTTAAAATAATTGGTCAGAATAAGAAAAAAATTAAACTACTAAAATACCCTCACCTCTTTCTTCTTGTACCTGAGCTGTGAGGTTTTGTTCACATTGAGCTTTGGCCTCCAGAAGGAGATAAATCTGATCCTCCATTGTAATGGTATTATCCAATTCCTCCTAATAAAGAAAACCCGTGTGGAAATCAAGTGAGTGATGAATACATTTCTTTGTGTAGAGAGATACAAAAAAGAAGGAAAAGAGTTTTTAATACACCCATTCTGAAAATTCACAGTATGCATTTAATTATATAGTATTGATACCCTGCCCCTGCTCTAATGGACCCCATGGGATATACAGGGACATCGATTGCAAAAACAACAAGAAAACCAAACTAAATGGTCGGGTAAACAGTTCAAGTAATATCATTAAGGGCCATTAAGGGCCATTAAGCATTATGGAGACTTTTAAAATTAAACTTCAGTTGAAAGACTGAAGGCATGCTGGAATAAAATTATGCACAAAATTCCAACAGAATTATGGTTATATCTCAGCAGGGAGGGTATGCTATAAATTGAGTGTGGCGAAAAAAATGACCCTATGTATGAAAATTTGATCACAGTTATGTCCTCCATACCCTTTTTTTCTTTTGTTTGAATTACTTTATCCTGAGAAAGTGAGACTCTTTCTCTTACCTAACATTCCACTTGGTATCAGTTTCTAAAGTTAAGATGAAACAAAAATAATTTTGGAAAGATATGCTCAAGATTCTTATTTAGGAGAAAAAAAAGTGTTTCTCCTATATAAGGATCTTGATCGTATCTCCCCAAAATTATTTATTCCTGTTTCACTTTAATACAGTACTAGAATGTATTGGCTTTTGTCCCATCCAGTGGTGCTATTCTACTGGTTCGGCTGAACCGGTAGCTCCAAAAATCAGCTGCTTGGCCCTCCCACCCTCTCCAGCTCTATACTGACCTTTAGTTCCCGCTTTTCAACCTCAGCTGCTTCGCATGGCACAGCCACTTGTTGCGCGTCAGCTGTTTTACACACAGGGCTTGCAGCAGAAGATGAGTTGCAAATGCTGCACATGCGCACACAAAGCGCACGCTCACACCGAACCAGTAGGAAAACTTTTTGAAACCCACCACTGGTCCCATCTATATGTTATAAAGAAATACAAAACTGCAAAAACATTTCAGGAAAAATGTTTTTGTAGTTTTGTAGTTCTTTATAACATATAGATGAGACGTAAGCCAATACATTCCAGTACTGTATTTTTAAGAAGTCCTGGTTGTTTATGGTCCTTACTGCTAATTTTCTCAAACATTGTTGGAAAGATTAAATTCAGCAAAAACAAAAAAGGTGCATAGGTGTCCTTATCATTTATCAGTATGCTAAATAATCAGAAACTCCCCTCCCATTCATATGGGAAAAATTATAATCAAATATAATTTTATCTAGTTCATAGAAACAACATTGATAATGCCATTAACTTTCAGTGTAATTCTTTCCCTATGTCTTGTAGTTCCCAGCTTAGAAAGTCTCTGACATTAGATTTTGGCCACACCAAAATATGCCCAAAATATAAGGAAATTTTAGTTCTTTTAATTAAAAAATCATAATTTGGGGATCCTATGGATGTAATAGGGGAAACCATGTATACTCCAGTGCCCACAGGTACCATATGCTCACTGAGGATTCTATGTTGAACCTCAAAAGATGATAATAATGAAGATATAATGGTCCACATTAAGGAAAAGTTTCTGAATCCTGGCCTAAATGTTCAAAGAACTTCACATTTATTAATTTGTTGGCTTCTTGGTATAGAAATAATGGGAAAAGGCAGTGTATTATGCATTTAACAAGCTATGTCTTCTGCAAGAGTATTTCAGTTAATTGCCTCTCTCCTTCCCCCCAAAAGTCAGTTTGCATTTCCTGATCTGTGTGAACTCACCAAGAACTAACTGGTTTCCGAAGTGTCTGAAACCCATTATGCATTACTCAACAAAGCAGGGATCTGCTAAATAACAGCAAAATGCCTCGGTACTCATTAATTGGTGGATGCAGCTGCTTCTGATGGCTGGGAAGAATTGGATGGCTGGCCCCTGTCAGGTGGGCCAATGCCTATTATGATCTTTTGGTAGCCATCTTCCCATTTGATGGTAGGGACCCACTTGTCGAGCCAGGCAAATCCCAATATGATGGACTCGGTCATCATGGGGGCTACAATAAATCATATGAGCTCATGGTGTGTAGAGTTGTGGCGCCCGAACAGGGACCCTCTTACTTTGTCCGGCAAGGATTTGGTGCACCTTCAACCCTTTGTGGTTTCTTCAACCTTTTGGTTTCTGTAAGTATGGGGTCTTCGCTTTCTGAGGAACAAAGGAAGCATGTAGATGAATTAGGCTATTTGTTGAAGAAAAATAATACCGAGGTACCACAGAGAAATCTCTTAAGGCTGGTCCAGGAGATTGCAGCTCAGTGCCTATGATACCCAGAAAAGGGGTCTTTAAAATTAACTGATTGGGAACGTATAGGGAAAACATTGCATACTGAACCTCGAGCAAAAATAGAAGTTTTGCAGGTGTGGCATTTATGTAGGCATGCAATTGAAAAATTTGGTCACAATGAACTTTCTCTTTTAACACCTCCACCTTCACATTATACTAATGCTGTCATTTGTCCCCCTTCTTCACCTGAATATATGTCTTCAATTCCCTCAGCTCCTGCAGATACAGGGCAAAAGCCTCCTGACTCTATTGTTCAGTCTTCTTTTCAGAAAATGGTTGAGACTTGTAAAAGGGATGCCTCTGTCTCAGGAACAGAACTTGCAGAATTACTGTCTGTTTGTCCAGTACAATATCGTCCTGGTCAGGGGCCACAGCTTGGACTGCAAGTAGCAGAATGGGAGGGTCTGCCTTATCAGATCAAAAAGGCAGTTACAGACTATAGGATTAGTGGAAATTTTACAAGAGGACTTGTAGAAGGAATAAAAAATGGTTATACAATGATCCCTGAAGATTGGAAGCAAATATTTCGCATGATTTTAACATCCATGCAATATGTAGTTTGGGAGAGTGAATATATGAGACATGCTCAAGCTGCTGCTTTAGGAGGGGAAGGAGCATAATACAGTTGAGCAGCTATTTGGTTCTGGACCATTTGGTACAATTCCTACTCAAGTTGTTCTTCCTCCAGCTACGTTAACTATTGTTTCTGAATGTGCCTTTCGTGCTTTTCTTAAGGTACCCCAAGCTGGAGAACCTAGAACAAATTTTTCAAACATTCGACAGAATGCCAATGACTTTGCTGACTTTGTTGAGCATCTGTCCAAAGCAATTAGACAGCAGTTTGATCATCAGGAAGCTGCTGGTGAACTTCTTTGCCAGTTAGCTATTGAAAATGCTAATGCAGATTGTAAAAGAGCTTTACAGCCGTTAAAGGCTACTGCTCATTACACTCTGGCAGATATGCTGTGAGTCTGCCAGGATATTGGATCACAAACTTATAAAATGCATATGTTAGCAGCTGCTATTCAGAAAGGACAGCGACCAATTGGTAACTGTTTTAAGTGTAAGAAGCCTGGCCACTTTCAGAAGGACTGTCGTTCTACACCTTCTATGCCTCAGAATCATCCTTCTAAGAAGTGCCCTATTTGTAAAAAGGGATTTCATTGGGCCAATCAATGTCGGTTTCGGTCAGGAAACTTACCAATGGGTGTGGCACCCACCCAGAATCCAAAGTGTGCCTTTCCCATCACTCTGACTCCTCCAGCAGTCTCTCTCACTCCTCCCTAGCCACAGCCGGTAGCGCTGGGATCGATTTAATCACTCAAGAGGAAATTGAGTTTAAATTTCCCATGGAAGTTAAAATAGTTCCATCTCAATTTAAAGGTCCTCTTCCTTTGGGATTAGTTGGCTTAATTTTGCCTCATTCTTCTGCACACAAAAAGGGCTGTTTTGTTGTGCCTGGGGTAATAGATTCAGATTACACTGGTATCCTCATGATTCAGATTTGGGTGAATCTTCCTCAAGTTCTTCCTTTTAATTCTTCTGTTGCACAATTGCTTCTTCTTCCATATGAAAATCCATCTCCTGGTATAGGTAATCGTGGGGATGCAGGATTTGGATCAACTTCTTTATCTGTAGGCTTACTTCATCAGCTGAACTCCTCTCGTCCTTTGTTAAAGCTCTTCCTTAATAAACAACCATTTCAAGGGTTATTGGATACTGGAGCCGATGTTACTGTCATCTCCTCTTTACAGTGGCCAGTACAGTGGCCAAAAATGACAGTTTCTTCATTGTGGAAAATAGGAGGTTCTACAGGTGCTTGGCAGAGTGTTCAAGAAATTAATGTTACAACATCTGCTTGTAAGTCCTTTTTCCTATAACCATACATTCTAGATATTCATACTAATATTTGGGGCCGTGATATCCTTTCTCTTCTTAATGCCCATTTGATTCTTGATGATGGCTCTTCCTCTTAAATGGCTCTGTTCTATGCCGGTTTGGGTGGAACAATGGTCATTATCAAGGGAAAAACTCGCTGCTTTACAACAATTGGTTCAAGAACAATTGGCTGCTGGTCATATAGAACCTTCTACTAGTCCTTGGAATACTCCTGTTTTTGTTATAAAAAAGAAAAATGGAAAATGGCGTCTCCTTCAGGATTTAAGAGAAATTAATAAATGTATCCAACCCATGGGTCCTTTACAATGTGGTCTACCAAATCCTAACTTAATTCCTAATTTTTATAAATTATTGGTAGTTGATCTTAAAGACTGCTTTTTTACTATACCTTTGCAGCCTCAAGACAAAGAAAAATTTGCATTTACTGTCCCAGTTTTTAATAATAGCATGCCCACAAAACGATATCATTGGCGAGTATTGCCTCAGGGAAAGCTTAATTCCCCTACACTTTGTCAATATTTCGTGGATAATGCCCTTCAACCCTTTCGGAATAAATTTCCTTCCTATTTAGTCTATCATTATATGGATGATATATTGATAGCAGCCCCGGATTTTGATGAATCTAAGTTGTTTTTTGAAGCCTGGATGCCAGCAGAAAGGAATGAAAAACCATTAACCTTGATTTTCTTAGGAGCTCAGCTCTGGAAATAAATACAATAGCATCAAATCCTGAAAAGAGCAGTGATGATCTTTGGTGGGAGACAGCAC